GACCCGCTGGGAGATCCAGAAGCTCCTGGCTCCTGATTGCAGACAGAAGTCTTCTCTCTGCAACTCTGCCTTTTATATACACAAATAAACCTTAATTTTTTTCTCATAATAACCTCTAAATACCTATAATACACATATAGCAATCTCCCACATACCTAAACTGTACTGGAAATCCACAATTCTTTTATATCATTCCATCCTTCTGGCCTCAAGTCCTTTCTTTTTTTTTTTTGGACAGGCAGAGTGGACAGTGAGAGAGAGAGACAGAGAGAAAGGTCTTCCTTTTTGCCGTTGGTTCACCCTCCAATGGCTGCCGCGGCCGGCGCGCTACGGGCGGCACACCGCGCTGATCCGATGGCAGGAGCCAGGAGCCAGGTGCTTTTCCTGGTCTCCCATGGGGTGCAGGGCCCAAGCACCTGGGCCATCCTCCACTGCACTCCCTGGCCACAGCAGAGGGCTGGCCTGGAAGAGGGGCAACCGGGACAGAATCCGGCGCCCCAACCGGGACTAGAACCCGGTGTGCTGGTGCCGCTAGGCGGAGGATTAGCCTAGTGAGCCGCGGCGCCGGCCTCTTAGGTATTTCTTACAATAAATACTTTGGTCAGAAATTATGGAATAGAAACACCTTCCTAAAAAAAAGACTTGTGCAGCCAGTGCTGTGGCATAGCCATTAATCTACTGTCTGCAGTGCCGGCATCCCATATGGGTACCAGTTCAAGTCCCACTTGCCCCACTTCTCATCCAGCTCCCTGCTAATTTGCCTGGGAAAGCAGCAGAAGGTGGGCCAAGTCCTCCAGCACCCTGCACCGACAATGGGAGACCTGGAACCTGGCTCCTGGGTTCCATCTGGCCCACCTCCAGCCACTTGGGGAATGAACCAGAGAATTAAAGATCTTTCTGTAACTCTCTCAAATAAATTAACAAATTAAAAAAAAAAAAATGACATGTGCAGCATTAGGCAACCTCCTTCAAGCTTCCAAATTGGTACCATGTGCATACTTTGAAAAAATACTTTCTATTTTGTACTACCTGCTGTTAATATATATAACCTGAGGATATTTCAAAAAGTTCAAGAAAAACAAAATGAAAATAGGTTTTGGTGTAAAAGAAACTTTGAAATCATTTTCCATGAGCTTTCTGAAGACCCCTCATATAACTTAAGGCGGCTTGACAATAGATTGCTGGTTTCTCAGTAGTGTCTAGTATTTAGTAAAAACATACAAAGAAAGGATAAACAGTTCATCTTAATTCCTAAAAGGCTTAATAAGATTTAAGTACATCCAAAAACATTTCCACGTCACCATTTTTAGGTCTCTGCTTGAACATGGGAATATTTGTAGAGGTATTCAAAAAATCCCTGATATTCCCACTTACTAGCAAAGACCATTAAAAACTTTAAACCTCAAGCTGCTGCCATCATAACTACATTTTCTCTGCTGTCTCCCTCTATTCTCCATTAGCATTCCAGTTATTCAAAAAAATAAGTTACCTAAGTGCCCAATTAAGTCATAACATTAAGGTAGGCTTAAGAGAATCAGAGTCCTTAGTCACCCCTACTAGATTACTTCCCTTATTCTTACCCGTAGTTAAAGGGCTAGAATTAGAAGACAAAAATTATACCAACTATTTTATGAGGTTTCTATAAATATCATTAGCTTGGAGACTAACTCTTGCTTTCTACCAAACTATTCCAAAATTAATTCAAAAGAGAAAGGGGTAAGGCATTTGCCTTAGCAGTTAAGCTGTTGGTTGGGATGCCCGCATCCCGTATTAGAGTGGGAGTCCTGGCTCTGCTGATTGCAACTTCCTGCTAACACATACCCCAAGAGGCAGCAGGTAATGGCTCACGCAGCTGGGACCTGAATTGAGTTCCTGGAATTTTGGAAGTGAATAAGCAGCAGCTCTTTCTCTTTTGCCTTCTCTGCCTCTCAAAAATTTTAAAACTTTAATTAAAAAAATAGAAATAAATGTTCTTAACTCATGGTTGCTTTCATCTGGGTAATAGCCATAAAGTAATTCCCTCAACAAAAAATTTCTCAGGAAAAATAAAAAAGGTCCATATGGCAATATAACAGAGCCAAGACCTTCAAAAAGAATCTACCCAGCTAACACTAAAAGAAAAACTGAAACAGTATTTATATAAAAGTATATTCAATGTGGTATTATTTAACTGGAAAAAGGGTAATATTTGAATTGCTGATATAGCCTATAATTTGGGATCAGTAAATTATAAATCTATGACAGAATACTGTTAAGCCATTTAAAGTGATATCACAGAAGAATATTTAACAATTGGGAAAAGATTCTAAAATGCAGAAAGCAGGTCACAAAACACCGTCTGTAGTATACAACCAAGCAGACCACACTATCAAAGATGACGCCAAAACTTGCTGGAAGTTTCAAGCCTGACAGATATTTGAAGGTTCTAGGATACAGAATTAATCACTTAACAGAAGTCAGTAATAATACTAGGCAAAAATGGCTGTGGCTCAACTTGTATGTTCCACCAAGATACATACCCATTTGGAACAGGTATGACATCTTCAGGATGAAGTTCAAGTAATTCCCTAAATTACTTAGTTACTGCCCTTATTTGGCATGAAGATTTTTGCAACCTTACAAATAGAAAGGCACACAAGTAAACACCCCACCTAAGAGAGTCTAATGCCTCAACGAACTATGCGTTCCATTCTCATTAAACTTGCTTATTCTTAGAAACATAAAGACTGTAAGAACAGCTTACAATCAGTTATTATAAGGATAACAGTAACCAAAAAGAGTGAAAGCAATACTGACTGAAATGGTAACCAGGCTTAGAAGCAATCAAAGAGACCTTCCCAAAACTGGAGCAGCTCTTCTTACAGAAAAACTAAAAGGTAATCCGACACGAATATAATGAAAGGTTTCATTTTTATTTGGTTAGTTCACCAGCCTAAGAACAATCAAGGTAATTCAATCATCAAGAGTATGGAATGGTTTTGGAAAAGGACCATTAGTTATCTTAAACTTTGATTATTGTTATTTTATTCATTTTAAGAAAACATTAAAAGGCTAGTCAATTCCCATTTATGAATCTTTCACCTACTTATAAGTTTAATTATCATTCACTGAACCACTCTAGTAAAATTAATCCAAATATACTCTTAATTAAAAGTTAACATAAGTTAACGTTTTTAAACCCACATTTCCCCACTGCTTCTAACAAATACAAGTTTACTTTAATATCTACACTGTATCTTTGCCTTTCTTCCTTTAAACATAAGATGTAGGACAGAATTTTCCAAGATGAAGGAAAGCAGATTCATAACAGGAGATAAATAGTAAGTTAAACCAATCATTTACATGCCCCTCACATATGTTCAGAAATGTGCTATGCCACTAAATGATGCTTAAAAAGTCATGGCCTCAGGCTGGCACTGTGGCATAGCAGGTAAAGCCACCACCTGCGGTGCTGGCATCCCATATGGGTGCCAGCTGGAGTCCTGGCTGCTCCACTTCAGATCCAGCTTTCTGTTATGGCCTGGAAAAGCCATAGAAGATGGCCGGAGTCCTTGGACCCCTGCACCCACATGGAAGACCCGGAAGAATCTCCTGGCTCCTGGCTTGGGATCAGCTCAGCTCTGGCAGTTGTGGCCATCTGAGGAGTGAACCAATAGATGAAATACCAACCTCCCTCCCTCCCCCGACCCCGCTCTGTAATGCCACCTTTCAAATAAATAAATAAATCTTTAAAAAAAAAAAAAGTCATGGCCCCTTTACTTGTTCCTGTAGAAAAAGGAACAAATAGAAAATATCTTTAGTCCTTTAGACTTCTAGCAAAAAAAAATTCATAAGCTATCTTTTTCTATAAGATTATGGCAGATTTTAAGTTAAACTGAAACTTTGGAGGAGGAAAACTTTAAGACTATCGAAAGAAGAAAACTATCAGTCAACTTTCAACACTCTGTCTCTCCAAGATCCCAATGCTTTGAGCACCCCTGATAAGTGTATCTTCATTTCTTATTCCTCTACTTTAGCTGAACAATGAACTTCCAAGTAGAAAGTATCAAAGGCTCTCCCCTCCCCCACCCAGGGAATCATGTTTTTACCCAATACTTTCAGGTCATATACAAGATTTCTATCAGTTCAGGACAAATTCAAAATATATTGATACAAGCGTATTGGGTTTTTTTCATTTTACATTTGAAGCTAACCAGCTCAATTCTCTTTCTATACAAATTTTTCAAAGAAAAATGTACTTATCGAAAATCTTTTCTCTTAACTTCCTACATTTAAGAATGACTCAGTCCTAGGTATTATGATCTGTCCCAGCCAGTTTTTTTTATTGTCCTCTTACGGTCCTCAGGTTTACATTCGCTAAATAACCACAGAGCAAGTACTACCAACTCTTTCAAATAAACTCTAATTGAATCCATTCTCCAACACTCTGCCCAAGATTCCCACTTGTTTAGAGGAATAAAGACAAACTGACTCTTTAGGAACACAAGATGTTAAAAGAATGAAAAAAAAAGTAATTAAGCTGAATACCATGAAGAACAGGACAAGGAAGAAAGAACTGGGAAACACTGACTGGTTAATGACACACTTATCCTTGATAACAATCACAAAATCCCAGCAAGGCCCAGAGTAATTTCCGAGAGAACTTTCACATTTTTCTGTTATACTACAGTCTCAGTACTATCTTATTTTAATTTCTACAGTTCTATCACTTCAGTTATCTGTTTATGTTTCAGACTTGCTCTACATCGTGTACCTTCAATTTCTCCGTATTGCTTCTGCTTTCCTTTAAGCTCCTGTTTTCTGTCCTCTACTAACATTCTCACATTCCTGTACACCAGGGTTCGAATATTATGACCAATCACACTTCCATAAAGCCTTGAACTGCTAAGTGATACTGTGTTACTGACAGAGCTTTTATTAACAGTTCATTATAATACCTTCCCTGTTCTCTCTACTCCCTCCTCCTTCCTGAAAAGTCTTAAGAATGGTAAGCTGGTTACCTTTTTAACACTTTCTTCTTCCTCTTGGCGTTTCTCATAGTGTGAGAAGTCATCAAAAATGGAAGTGGTGTGCTTGTAGCTGGCTATGATTTTCAACACCTGCTTAGCCTTTTCCAGAGGCACTTCCTGAGTGTCCCTAGAGTTGGTCACTGGTTTATTCTCGTTGTTCTCTAGACGAATGTGTCGCAGTTGGCTATTGGGAACGTCCTTCACGAAAATCCACCTGACATCGAAACGACCCTTCCACTTGTCCTGGGACCAAACACCAGCACATGTGTTGTAGTCCACAGCAGATTTCATTTCTGCAACGCCACAGAAGTGTCCACTGCCGTTGACACTGAAAAGTAAGTAAACGGGGCCTTTCCCGTTCATGGAACGATAAGCAGCATCCAGTCTCTTGTTACCATGCTCTGTGCTGCACCAGATGTTATACTTAATGGAACGGTGGATATCGTCCTCAGAGTAGCTCTTAATGATGAAAACCCGACCGTGTTTCAGGTTCCAGTCAAAATCCTTGGGGTTATAGTTATTAATGGACCGCAGCTTCTCCAACACTGGGTGAGGTTCTGATGGAGTTGATCCAGAACCAGCCTGAGACTGTCCTACTCCATTACCATCCACCCCGTTATGACCGAACCCACTGCCACGGTTCCGAGGTGCTACCCAGCGGGCTGGCTGAGCTGCTTGTTGCTGGACAGAGAGCTGAGCAGGCTGTGGTGGAGGTGGAGGCAATGGCTGTGTCTGTTGCCCTACTGATGCTTGAGCCACTGGCGGGCTATTGTTAGCCTGCTGACCTACAGGCTGGGGAGACCCCTGGGTTGGCTGACCTATGTTCTGAACCAAAGCCTGTGAGGGGGCTTTTGCCACAGGACCCTTGTTATCCCAAGTTCCAATATCCATGTTATGCTTTATTGGGGGTGGTGGAAGACTTGACCCTGCAATGCCGTTCTTGGTCTTCAACTTAGGTTGCTGTTTTGCAGGCTTGCTAGCAATATCAGCCCAAGATGCTGGTTTTGGAGGAGCAATGGTAGCTGGAGGCAAATTATTAGATGCCACGATGTTACTAGTAATGGACCCACTACCAACAGCAGAACCTACAACTTTTGGAACACTGCTTGCAACTTCTGTGCTACCCAACTTCAATGCTGCCATCCCTTGGTCTATAGTATTCATGCCAGGAGCCTTATTGAGGGTCTCATTGGCAAAAGCTGACTGTCCATCAATCATGGCTCCACCTAAGGAGCTAGGTGCATAAGCGTAATTGCTACTATATCCAGAGCTCTGAGTAGACTGTCCCTGAGAACTGTTATTTCCCCATGCTGAGAAGTCAATACCACTGGGAAAGAAATTAAAACCATGCTGACCAAGAAATGGAGTGCTACCTAGGGCTCCTGGTTGCCCAAACATTGCATCTGGTAGGAAGTGGGGCTCTCCGTTGCTCAGCTGTCCATAAGAAGTTAGATAGGGCATGGCTGTGTCACCCCCAGTAGACCAAGCAGCTTCACCCAACGAATAGGAAAAGCCAATGGAGGGACTGTAGTAACTGGGTAAGTAGGAGTCTGACATGGCAGTATATGCATTATTCTGTGGGAGGAAAAATAAAAGGAAAATCAAAACACGAAAATAAATAAGACATTTCCTCCCCCACTTAGTCACACAATTCAAATATTTCAGCCATTACTACAAAATAATAGCCCATGAAGTGATCTCTTCCTATATACTGGTATTTATAAAATTTGATGTAACTGAAATGTTTAAACATTTAAACTTAAGCTAATATACACAGTGAATATTAGTTTTAACTTTAACACTACAACAAAGGGAAAAACACTCAGCATTTCAACAGCAGTGTCAGTCAGTCTACAGAAGCACTGAGATGATGCTTTTATTAAAACCAATTATCTTTGATTTTAAAGAATGGGAATTTTGGCAGAATTCAAGTGTTTAAAAAAAACAGTTTCCTATCCCAACCAGATGAAAACAGATTTAAGAAAACAAGCAAACAAAAATAACTGGAAATTTAAATGTCTGTTCAGCCATTCAATCTGAAACCAAAATGCAAGGTTAGGTACATACGGTTTACAACGTTAGCCTCCTGGCAAATCATCCAGGAACATCAATAGATGACACTATTTATTTATAACCTGGAAAGGAAATGCTCAGTGGCTTCCAGAGGATTTTAAATGAGAAAAATATATTGCTATCTGTCTTGCTTCATCTATAAAGTTAATGGCTATAAGCTGAAATCCACACCTAACTTTTCCATTTTATATAGGAAAGTACAATTCTAAAGGCAATGTATGATCTGTATGCTCAAGGAACCCATCCTAATCAGAAATAAAAATTTATATGCAACTAGTCTGCACATCAGATACAGACTACACTACACCATCACTCTTGAACTTACTTTAGTTTATGCTGAACAGGTTTGGCTCAGGTTTTGTTTTTTACAAATCTTATAGCTCATAGAACAATTTTTCAGTGAGAAAGCCAGAGGTATAAAAAAATTGTTATCAGTAGATTTAGATACAGCTCAACTCAAAATAGAGTTTAACCTAAAGTGGGCTTTGTTTCCCATTAGTATGCCTATATCCCATCCTGAAATGCCTGAGATCAAGCCCCACTTCCACTCCCACTTCCACTCCAGCTTCCTGCCAATGCACACCTTGAGTCACTGCCATTCATACTAGAGACCAGGATGGAGTTCCTGGCCATTGTAGACTTGTTCCTGGCCACTGAAGCTTCAAACAGTGGGTAGAAGATCTCTTTTTCCATCTCTCCCTCCCTATCATTCTTTCAAATAAATAAATAAATAAATACAACTTGACCCTAACTCCAGAAACAGTTCTGGTAATGTAAATATCCATTAACTAAGCAACAGGCAACTTTGTCCTTAAAGAGACTTGGATGATCATAAACACTGTAGGCCCAAGGCTTGCATTACCACAGCCAACCGTACTTAGCCATTAAAACATAGCTCTTCAACAGTAAAATTTTCAACTAATGGGTTTGATGTAATGGTTATATTTTCCTCTGCCAATGTAAGTTTTTCCTTAAAAACAAAAGTCTTTTCACATACACCCTCTCAAGTTCAGAAATTCTTGAAGGTAGTGTTAAAATGCTACCACACCAAAATCCATTATGTCTAAGAAATTCAGTCTATTATCAGTGGATTAAGCTTGAGGCATTATTCCAACATTGGGCAATGAAAAACCAGCTAAAAAATAAATTACTCTTGACAGTAAACTACAAGAAAACAAAGATTCTCAGGTTACTCTTCATCTCCTCCAAATATTTTTAAACAGGAATTCAAGCTTTAGGTTACTTAAGAAAAACCAAATGACTAATTATCACAAGTTATGAAGAGACAACTAAGTGCCTACACCTGAACTGACAGGTTCCCACATGCCTCCAAGCTCAAAAAACTGAATTTCACAATGTTTTACAAGAAATAAAGAATTATGTTTCTAAATGCTCTCATTCTGTTATGATTATATACGCAAACTGCTTCAATAGCAAGACCTTATTAATAGTTCATTCCTTTACTTTCTTTTCTACTTTTCCCAGTTTACTAGTTGTCTTACATGAGAACTTTGTTCTAATCACTTACTTAGGTGGTCTACATACTTTCAATGCAGAAAATTGTACCTAAGCATCTACATTTTATATAATAACCAGGCCCAAATTTGTGCATGCACTAATATGTCAAGTTACTGGACACTACCAACTATACTTCACACAGTATATATTCAGACTTTATACAAATGCTCCATGAACTTGGTCTTTCAGGGTATTTTGGGAGTCAGTTTTCCTCTTCATCTATTAATCTGGGGATTTACATTAGCTACACCTTTGTGGCTGTCTTGCAGACTAGAGGTGCTAATACAAAAGACCTGCTGAATCAAACAAGTTTCGCCAAGAACAGGTTAACATTAACAGTATTTGAATCTACATGCACCTACTCTTCCTATAAGATTGACTACGCTGAAGACTCCTCAATTCTCAATTTTAGATTTTATGCTAGAATTTTTCATCACATCATTAATCTAATTTTCCTTAAAAAAAAAAAAGTTTCCTGGGACTATTTTCTAAATATTTAATAGCAGTAAATATCCTTAAACTAAATACTTTGATGGGTGGGGAGGGGGTCAATTACTCAGCTATTACTGTTAGTGCATGCTAAAATGTTACCAGTGTGAGTCTCAGAGTACAAGATGGTTGCTGACAAAACAGAGCTGGGAATCTTAAACAGCCTATAACATTTGCTTTAATTGTTTTAATTGCTTTATAACTAACAGACATTAGGAAAGTGAAATCCCCCTCAGAAAATTAATTTGCCATTAGAGTAGAAAAATAATGGCATAGGACACCCTTTAATCAGAGACGTAAATGATGAACTACTCACGGGCCTTGCCTGCGGACTCAAGTAAGGTTCAAAATCATCATCATTTAATCCATCCTTTTGATGTACAGATCCATTTTGCACTAGAGGAAAAAAAAAAACCTCATTTAGGAGTGTCCCAATGCTGCAATCTCCCTCCTAAACCAAACATATCCTAACCTGAAGGTAAACCTTACTCGTTAAGACGGCAAACAAGCTCGGACTTAAAGAGAAAGGAGATACTTAATGCTGAATCAACGTCCGTCCATGAAATGTCTCCCTCCACCCGGAGCAAGTTGATCTAAAAAAGGTCATTTTCTTGGCTCCTCCAGATTTCCATTCCCTCCCGCTTCCCCTCCCCCGTCACAAGTGAGTACTTCCAGAAAGTGATCCACGAGGATGAAAAACAAAGGCCTTCTGAGACCTACAGGAAACTCGGGACCTGGGGCATTTCAAAGCCGAATCCACCCCCACCCTCAGTGAACGACTCCCAGTTGCGGAGCAAGCGGCTCGCCGGCTGCAACAACACCCCGAGAGGGTCCCACGCCCCAGTGCGAGGCACCTGCGCGCCCGGCGGCGCCCGCAGGGTCCCCTCCCGGAGGCGCTGCCCGGAGACCCCGCCCCCGCCGCCCCCCGGCCGCCCGCCCGCCGAGCGGGGCTTACCTTTGTTTCCTTGACCTTTTGGTCTCTGCGGGCGCAGGGAGCGTCGCCGAGCAGCGAGTGTCGTCCGAGGGGGAGAAAGGGGGAAAAGACAAGACGAGTGAAAGCAGGGCCCGAGCAGGGAAGAAAGCAGCAGGCCCGAGGGGAGGCGTCAGGAATGGTGGTGAGGGGGAGGTGGAAAAATGGGAGGCGGGGAAAGGCGCTAGGCCGGCGGGGCCCGGGGAGAAGGAGCCGGGGACGCGCCAGCCGCGCCGCGAGGGAAGCGGGGCTTCCAGGAAGGGGAAGGAAGACGAGGGCCCGCCGAGAGGAGGAGCGCGGCGCGGCCCGGGGGCTGCGGGGCCCCGCGGAGAAGCGGCAAGAGCGGGCTGAGGGCGAGGCGCTGGGTGCGGCCGGCCCGAGAGGCCCGAAACCCGGCCCGCGAGAGGCGCCGCCTCGGCTCGGCCCGACCGGGGGCGGCGGGCCCGGGCCTAGTCGGGCTCCCTCTCGCCTCACACAATGGCCGAGGCATGCGGGCTGGGCCTGTACCTGCTCCAAGAGGCTGCTGGCCGACATGGCTCTCGGATCCTCACGGGCGGCGACGGCGTCGGACTCTCCCTCGGGGCGGCGGCAGCGGCGGCGGCAGCGGATGAGCCCCGGCGGCGCGGCGGCGGCTTTTGTCCCTGACACTCGGGAGCCTCGGCGGACGCAGCGGAGACACAGCGCGCGGCTCGGGCTCCGGCTCCGACTCGGCGACGCTCTAGCCCCAGAGCTCAACGCCCGTCTCTATGCTCCTGCGCGCGCGCCCGCCCCTCACAGCAGAAATAAGGGCGCCGAGAAGGCGGAGGCGGACGGCGCGCGCGGCGCGAGCGCTGACTCTCACATTCACTCACCCACGCGGAAGAGGCCCGGCGCGAAGCACCCCGGGAAAGAAGAGGCGGGGCTGTGGCGCCCTCTGCTGGGCTGGAGGAGCGGAAGAGGCGCGCGCGGCCTCCCGGCTCCCACCGCCTCGGGATTGGGGCCTAGGAGGTGGAGGGGGGCTAGGGTCTCAGCGCGAGGTTTTCGATTAACACCTGAAGAGACTGGTTTTAGCTTGAGAAGAACCACAAAAATCTGGTTTTCAATGAGGGGGCGACCCCCGCAGCCGGCGAGACCTTAAAATAAACCTACTTCCCGGTTGCAAATGACACCCCCGCCCCTATTTGGAAGGAAATCCCAAAGGGAAGGGGGCGGTATGAGAACCCCCAAGGGAATTTCTCCGGGTCTTTTTTGGAGAGAAACTGGACAAGGGATCTGGTCATCCTCCTCAGCGGACTGCAGAGAGAGTACCCAAAGAGCACTACATCCACACAAAATACATCCTGTCCCAGGCAAAAGCAATTCACCCCACCACGCTGCAGGCAGGAATATCTACAATTCCTTTTCAGAACCGTGGGCTATCTTTCCAAGAAAAATAACACCTCACGCAACTGTGCAAAATTGCACTCGCACTTTGGAGTCCAGAGAACCCCTAAGTGTACAGACCTCAAAAGGGAATGTCCTTGATCTGGGAAAACCTGCGGTGGGCTTTCAGCAACTGGGGAAACAGAGAGGTTAAGTAATCTGCCCAAGGTTACAAAGCTACTACTAAGTATGCTGGAGTATCTCACCCAAAAAGGATAGTGGTGTCCCTCCACTCTGGAGAGAAATACTGCATTCAGGAAAACCAGAATCCAAGAGATCCAAAGGGCGGGTAAAAGCATTTTTAATCAGAGGGAAACCCAATTCATGCAGGGATACTTGATAGCAGGATAGCCCATCTCCTAGTGGCTTTTGTTCAAATAAAATAGTAGTCACCAGATAAATAATGCACTGTGAATTATCAACCTAATACCATCTGCTCAGTGATGGTATACAGGAGACCTTGGTAGACTCAAGAATACATCATCCTTTTTTTCAAAGGGCTCAAGGCTCTTTGTTTCTGCCCATAATCACATGACAGCAATGAATAAGGTCAATAGTGGAGCCTAAAATGTTAAGTATCCATGTAGATCCTGCCAGAGGAAATCAAGTATGTTTTAGGAGATAACCAGCCGGTTACTCCTGTGGCCTGGATTCAAGCCTGAACAGGAAGCAGTTGCCCACACTTACCCTTAGAGGCAGCGCAGTACTGTAAAAAGATCAGATCAGAAGTCTTATCCTGGGAGGGGAGGCTCTAAACACCAGATGGGCAGCATTAGGAAAATTACCAAACTTTCCTCATTCCCTCCTTTAACAAAGGGATAATAATACTCAACAGGTTTGTTGTGAAGATTAAAAGAAAAGCATTAGAACATCTCTGGTACATTTAAGGTTCTTTTCCTATAATATTATTTAGGGATGTCGATAAAAAAATTCTTTCCTTGAAATATCTTCAGGTGCCAGAAATTTCCATTAGTTCCTTTGGGATTAACTTCTTTCCTCCAGGAGTTCTCGGTTAAGATACAGATGGCCTGGGGGAAAGGGAATCTCTTAAACTGAAGTAGTTTACCAGATTGACTTTAAATGTTCCTGGGGCTGGGGAGGGGTGGGTGGAGAATACAAAACAACAAAAGACATATATTTACTCACTGGGAAGAGGGAGGGGAAGTCTGGAATGGGTGGAAAAGAGCACTGAACTGGAAATGGGTTTAGGTTCCATTTCAGCTCTATCCTTGAGCGGATGAAACATTCAGTCTCTGTCAACATGTGTTGCTGAGAGCCAGGCACTGTGCCGTAGAGAAAGTCTGAAGACAGTTCACTTTCCCCTGCAGCTTACAGGTTAGTCAGGGAAACAGTATGCAAATCATTATTCAAGTAGTTATTCAGTGCAAAGTGCAATGAGGAAGTACAGACCTGGCCTCCACAAAGGAGCCAGGGAAATTTTCCCTGAGGAAATGAGCTTCAGCTAAGACCTGAAGCTGACCAGAAACTAACCATGAGGGAGGGACACTAGAGAACCACTCAATGCAAAGGACCTGGGAGAGAGGAGTTCCGCGCTGGTGAGCAGCCGGATGGCGGCATGATTGGCACATGAGGACAGAAAGGGTGGGTGGCACTGATGAGACTGGGCAGAAAGAAGAAAAAACAAGGACTCAGTCTTCTGCTACAGTGATCAGCTAATAACGGGCTGATAGTATAATTTGGGGAGACAGGGGCCAGCGCTGTGGCACAGTGGGTTAACTCCCTGGCCTGAAGTGCCAGCATCTCATATGGGCTCCGGTTCTAGTCCCAGATGCTTCTCTTCTGATCCAGCTCTCTGCTGTGGCCTGGGAAGGCAGAGGAGGATGGCCCAAGTCCTTGGGCCCCTGCACCCGTGTGGGAGACCCGGAAGAAGCTCCTGGCTCCTGCCTTCGGATCGGTGCAGTTCCAGCCGTTGTGGCCAGTTGGGGAGTGAACCATCGGATGGAAGACCTCTCTCTCTCTCTGCTCTCCTCTCTCTGTGTAACTCTGACTTTCAAATAAATAAATAAATCTTTTAAAAATAATAATAATTTGGGGAGACAACAGATTAGGAGTTAGAAGAATACTGCAGAATCTAGAGAGACAGAAGGGAACCTAGAAGGCCAGCGCCGCGGCTCACTAGGCTAATCCTCCATCTTGCGGCGCTGGCACACCGGGTTCTGTCCCGGTTGCCCCTCTTCCAGGCCAGCTCTCTGCTGTGGCCTGGGAGTGCAGTGGAGGATGGCCCAAGTCCTTGGGCCCTGCACCCCATGGGAGACCAGGAAAAGCACCTGGCTCCTGCCATCGGATCAGCGTGGTGTGCCGGCCGCGGCAGCCATTGGAGGGTGAACCAACGGCAAAGGAAGACCTTTCTCTCTGTGTCTCTCTCTCACTGTCCACTCTGCCTGTCAAGAGAATAAAAAAAAATAAAAAAAAAACTAAAATGAAGAGAGAGAGGGGAACCTAGAAGAATAAATCGTTTGCTTGCTCAAAATCTATTTCCCAGGGCTGCTGCCTTCAATCCTGGCATCCCATCTGGACACTGGTTCCAGTCCCGGCTGCTCCACTTCTGATTCAGTCTCTGCTGGTGTGCCTGGGAAAGTCGTGCAAGTGCTTGGGTCGCTGCACCCACGTGAGAGATCTGGATGGAGTTCCAAGCTCCCTGCTTCAGCCTGGCCCAGCCCTAACCATTGAGACTACTTGGGAAGTAAACCAATGGATGGAACAGCTCTTTCTCCCTTTCTCTGTAACTCTGGCTTGCAAATAAATAAAATAAATCTTTTTTTAAAAAATATATTTCCAGGAAGGAAATTGGACCAAATTTACCTCCTAGGTCTTTTCTAGATCAACTATTTCTCAGAGAATTGCTTTTAAAAAGATTTATATATATATATAGAGAGAGAGAGAGAGAGAGAGACAGACAGACAGACAGACTGGGAGGAGCAGGGGCTCCCATCTGCTACTTTATTCCCAAATGCCCACAACGGCCAGAGGTGGGCCAAGGCTGAAATTGGGAGGCAGGAACTCAATCCAGATCTCCCATGTGGGGGCAGGTACCCAACTATTTGAACCAACTTTGCTTGCTACTCACGGGGTCTGCACTGGCAGAAAGGCGGGATCAGGAGCAGAACTGGGACATAAACCCAGGCACTCCAACATGGAACGTGGGTGTCTCAACCGTCCCATCCAGTTGCTTAACTGCTAGGCCAAATGCCTGCCTTTAGACTTGTGTTGGAAATCAGAGGTCCTTCAGGATATTTGGCCATCTTTCAGAGCTTTCCCAGGCATACCAGTAGGGACTGAATCAGAAGTGGAGCAGCCGGCACTGGAACCAGTGTCCAGATGGGATGCCAGGATTGAAGGTGGCAGCCTAAACCCGCAGCACACAGTGCCAGTCCTGGGAAATAGACTCTGAGCAAGCAAATGATTTGTTCTTCTGGGTTCCCTTCTGTCTCTCAAGATTCTGCAAGAAAGAAGTATGGCAGGGCAGATTTTACATTTTTTTTTTCAGAATTCTGCCATGGATTGCACTGGGTAAAAGAACTCTAGCTCAGGGGCCGGCGCTGTGGCGTAGCAGGTAAAGCCACTGCCTGCAGTGCTGACAGCCCATATTGGTGCCAGTTTGCGTCCTGGCTGCTCCACTTCCGATCTAGCTCTCTGCTGTGGCCTGGGAAAGCAGCACAAGATGGCCCAAGTCTTTGGGTCCCTGTACCCGCATGGGAGACCTGGAAGAAGCCCCTGGCTCCAGGCTTTGCATCAGCGCAGCTCTAGCCATTGTAGCCAATTGGAGAGTGAACCAGTGGATGGAAGACCCCCTCTCTCTCTTTCTCTCTTTCTCTCTCTCTCTCTGCCTCTCCTCTCTCTGTGTAACTCTGACTTCAAATAAAAACAAAACAAAAGATTGAGGGCTTTGGGGTTAATACCATGGCATAGCAGGTAAAGCCACTGCCTGAGGTTCATATGTGTGGTGGTTTGGTCTCAGCTGCTCCACTTCCCATCCAGCTCCCTGGTGGTGCCTGGGAAAGCAGCAGAGGATGGCACCCACGTGGGAGAGCCAGAAGAGGCTCCTGGCTCCTGGCTCCTGGCTTCGGA